TTTTTTTTTTTTTTTTTCAATTCCTACTATTAGTTCACACTCCTCTCACTATATCTCGTTCAAATTTTCAATCCCCAATAAAATACTTTTTATTCATCCACTGAAGATCAATTACATTTTTTTGTTTAAATTTGTAACAGATGCTACTGGATGTTAATACAGTTTTTTCAAATATCAATTCATTCATTAAATTCAATTAATTAATTTCAGTTTTATAAAAATGAAAAAATTTTAATTATTGAATAAAAAGTAACTAAAATAAAAATTTTCTTTCTTGACTTAAGTAAGAATTGACTTGAAAAAAAATTTTTTTTTGTCTCATATTACTTGTTGTAAATACAATTATACAAAATATACTAGCCTTGCTATAACTAATGTATCCATTAAAAGTAGTCTCCTCGAATTGAATCGGTTGTTCAATTCATATAATTACTAACTAGGTGCTTTTTATTCTTTTTTTCCTGGGCTGTTCTTTCCTGGTTCACCGATGTGTTTTTCTAAAGGGTCGGAAAACGAAGCAAAGGTTGCTGTGGTCATTTGCGTAAGAGTCGTTAACAGTTTCATTAATTATCCGCAATGATGAGGAGGGGAGGGGTAGGGGAATTAAATTGAAATTTCAAATGAGCTTTAAACATGTGGCACCCGTTATCGTTTATCATAATTGTTGAGGCGAAAATTTTAAATGTTTGTCACTTTCTTACACGAAGATTTTTTTTTTCTTGCTCATTTTTAATGCTAAAACTTTTTTATACGGTAAGTTTGTCCTGATAAGTTTTCAGTTTTAGCAGATTTTTCTTTCGTTTTTTTATTTTATTTAAAAAGGCTAAAAACTCTTTCCAACCTTCGTCAAAAAATTATTTATAATCGTACTTTTAGTTCTGCGGTCTTTTTAAAGAGTAGAAGCGGAGAAATAAATAAAAAAATAATAATTAATTGACTCTTTAAAAAGTACAATTTTTCCTCAAAATAGTGTCGCCTTAACACTCTTAAAAGAAGTTTTATTTTCCTAAAACTTAAGGTACTTTACAAAGAGAGAGAGAAAAAAAATTAAGCGAAATAATATGTAAATTTCTATAAAAACGAAATTCTTAAAACGCGTTACAAAAGAATCTTACTACTGAATTGCATCACAAAAATATACACGATTTACATATGTTTTTTAAATTCCTACTATTAGTTCACAAGTCTCCTTCTATCTTGTTCAAATTTTACATCGTTCATAAAATACTTTTTATTCATCTCCACTCAACATCAAACACATTTTTTTTAAACTTGTTATGAATGACACTTGATGTTAATGTAGTTTTTTCAAATAGTAATTCATTCATTAAATTTAATTAATTAATTTTAGTTTTATATAGAAGAAAATTTTTTAATTATTTAATAAAAAGTAACTGAAATAAAAATTTTCTTTTTGACCTAAGTAGGAATTGACTTTAAAATTCTTTTTTTTTTTTTTCTAATATTACTTGTTTATTTTCAATTACATTTCATCAGGTAAACTAAAATAATAAACTATTCAAATTTTGACCTGACATTTTTGAGGGTGTTGACTATGAACTAGAAAAATATTTTAAAATATGTATTGGCAACTTATAAAAATCTCAGGGTAGTGAGGAAAAAAAAAAACCTTCCATTCTTTCGAACCAAAAA